CCCTTCTTAGTAAATTATTATGAAGTTTTATTAAACTAGTAAGTTCTAGAAGTTAGACACCATGGTAGTTAGACCAGCCTGGGATACTGTACTCTTAGGTTCCATAATATTTCATAGTACATCTTTTTATTGTATGTTAAATGATAGGGAAGTATAATAAAATGTACCTAGAGAGTACTTATCTATTTTATGTCCTGTAACATTTAGTGCTTGATGCTAATGTAGCAGATCCTGACTCAAAAAAAGAACAAAACTGGTTATAGCCCAAGAGGAGGATGACAAGTTCTTTGTTGTAGGCATAAATTTGGTAGAATCATAGAATTTGAGACCCTAAGGGGACTTCATAACCTCTAGTCAAAGTCTTTATAGATGGGGAAGGAATTATCCCCTTGGTCCTGGGTCATTCAGCAGGTGAGAGAGAGAAAACTGTGGGCTGAACCTAGGACAGATTGAATGTCCACTCTGTTGGGCTTTTAATTTTCTGATCATAGTTGAGGTAGTCTAATCTTTTTTTAGAAAAGCATACTCTTTGATGTTTTGTTGGCTTGAAACCTGTCCTTGTGCCCAAAGGCACCCAAAGACTACCGTGCTGCTCATTTTTCCTGGTTGCACGGATCATTCCATGATTCTCAGAGGGTGGGTTTGGATACGATCAAAGTGAAAGCTATGTTGTGACGGTACTTAGAGAGTTATCATGAATTAAATGACTTCTTATCTTTTTAAGAAAGCAGTGAAAAGACAGTAAGGGGACTGTTAGTTCATAAAACCATTGACTCTGGATGGAAAGAAGCCCTACGTGGCAGATGGCCACAGCCTTTTGCAGCTGCATGCTGTCTTTGTCTCCTCTTGTACCCTTTACAAATGGTCTTGGTCAAACATTTAACCTCTTCAGCTTTAGTTTTCTCTTAGGAAATCCAGGGAGGTAAAGTGGATGATTTCTAAGGTACTTTCTAGGACTTTAATAATTATTCTTCAAAATGAGTATTTTTATAGGAGTTTATCCACATGATCAAATAATCAAACATGGATTTCTTGCAGTCCATTTCATTACTGTTTTGATTGGTTTTCATGGGAATTTGGAAAATATCTCAGACTTGACTGTGATCAAGCTGCTAGGAGTTATTTACAGAACACCCACCAGGTGCTTGGGGGCTATAAAAGAAATAGTGTCCAGTTCAAGGAGACTAGAAAGACTTCCTTATCTCAAGCTGGGGATGGAGGGGATGGGGAAATCCATTCTTCCCTTTCACTGGATTTAAGCTCTGTGAGTGCAGGGCTTTTGTCTCTCTTTTATAAGGTCGGGCTCAGAAAATACTGGTTTCATGAATGAAACAATGAATCCACTTGTCCTCCTTGCTTATATTTACTGAAGATTTCCTACTGAGATTTATTGTTTTCTTCAGTTGGTAAATGCTATTAACTTGAATAAATTTCCCAGAAAGTATTCCTTACCTTCTGTAGAAGAATTGAGACCAAGGTGCTCTGGGGCTAAATGAAAAACCCACAAATACTATTGGGTTGGCCACAAAGCCTGTTACATTTTTTCCGTAAAATAAAAAACCCATTTTTCATTTTTACCAATGCCTTTATTGAGTTGGATATTTTGAGTATATTGGCTATCTCTCACTATTGACTTCTAATGGGTAGAGGTCAGGGGTGCTGCTAAGTATCTTCCAGTGCATGAGACAGCTACAGCAAATAATTATTTGGCCAAAGTGTCAGTAATACCAAGAAACTTTGCAAACCACTCTTGTCATGTTTGATCAGTCATAGCACCTCCTCCATACACTGCACATATCTTTTCTTGTATATCAGTTGTGTCTTTACCTTTCTTGAAATAATGAAGCATAATACATTAACAATGTTGCGTATCTTCCTCCATCATCAATATTAAAGTAACTGCATAAAAATCCACCAATTCTGATTTTTTTTAGATGCGGGTTGATATGACAGCTGTCCCAATATAGTCTAACAAAATTGTTTCAAATGAAGTTAAAAACAACCAAGTACTACTAGAGCCATTGTATGGAAACAATGTTATGGACATTTTGGCCAATCCAAAACATTTCTTTCTTGAAAACTCACTTTAATAATAGCATATTGAAAGCACTGACATGTCTGCCTAAAAATGACTTTAACCCAACATTTCTCAAACTTATTGAACTCAGAATCCTTTTCATTCTACTTCCCTATGGAATAGTTGTTAATATCCTGCAGAACTTTGACCTGGGGAGAAAGGTTGGTATGGAGAGTAGTAGTATGGAATAAATCAAAGCAGCAACATTAGTTTAGAATAATTTATTCCTACTGACAGAACATATATGGTAAGCACTGCTTTTGTCAGCTCTGTGTGAAGTGGTAGACTATAGGTTTCAAGATTTCTTTTTTTTTTCCCTTTAAAAAATTAGTCTGTGCTTCACTGGAGATTTAAGGTTAGGTGGTACAGAGATGAAAGGAAGTGGCAAATGATCTAAAAGTTTTTTTTACCATTTTAGAAGTTGAATGATAGAGTTTTAATATATGTCAAGGGCTGTCCTGCCAGGTACTGTGCAGAAATAATGATGAAAGGAGTCTGTGTGTGCTACTTCAGGGGCAGGCTGTCCAGTGGAGGAACCAGACATGTAAACAGATTATAGCAACAGTGAACTCAAATATGTAACGAACAAAAATAGGACAGAGGAAGGAATGGTATTTTTCCCCCAGTTTAAAACAAGGTTGCTTTTAATACAATAAGCCAAAACCGTATTAGTTGGATCCCCCCTCTGGATCCTCTAGACAATATCCTACTAATACATCAAGACTCTGTTGATTAGGTTTCTTGTATATTTTCCCTGCTCTAGGATTAATAGTATTATCTGTAGTCAGAGCCTTACTTACATCCCTGTCACTGGACTTATGTCTCTGTATCTACAAGGCCTAAAGGCACAGCATGTTCCAATACCCATAGCGCACACTGGCTGTTTTGTCTAGACAAGGCATTGGGGCTGTGAAAGTTAACTCACTTTAGGTAAATTCAGAAAATAAAAGTAGTTTTTACACAAAACATAGATTGAGAAAATGGTACTTATTAAGAGTATGGTTCCTTTGGATAGCTCCCCCCCTCATCCCTAAATATGACTTTAAGTTGAAAGAATTCAATTACTTTTTTTGTAAGACTTCAACAATTCAATATCATGAAGTGTTTTTATTTCACATAAATGTTTTGTAGTCATTAGTTTTTGCAGGTCTTTTCTCTTCTGTCCTGTATTTCATCTGGACTATCCTAAGATTACGTTGAGTTTGGTATTCTGTTCCCTACTAGTAATTGTGTTTGACATCCAAGGTTGTCACGGAGTTGATTGGTAACATTTTCCTTTAAAGTGTTTGTAGCCATGTGTACTTTGGGGGTGGGAGCAGAGTTGATTTCCCAGGATGGTACAGTGGAAATAACTGAATTGGAAGGTAGCTTGATTTTCTAATTCTTTTTCTTTGTGACCTTGGGCAAATAATTTAACCTTCCAATAATTGAGGAGATTGGACCAGAGTTAGTCCAATCTCTTCTAATGCTGACATTCCATGATTCCCTGGGGAGGGTTCACTTCCACAGAGAAGGTATAAAAGTAGATATATTTATAGGTTGAATGGCTTTATTCATTTAGTACCTTCACTGTCCCCCCTTCTCTACCCCCAACCCATTTTGGAGCAGTAAGACTGCTTGTCATGGTGTAAAACCAAATTACCCAGCACTTTCAAAAGGCTGCAGTTCTTTTTTTAAAAGATTTTATTTATTTTATTTTTAGAGAGAGGGAAAGGGAAGGAGAAAGGGAGAGAAAACATCAGTGTGTGGGTGTCTCTTGCACGCTCCCTGCTAGGGACTTTGCCCGCAACCCAGGCATGTGCCCTGAGTGGGAATTGAACCAGCCACCCTTTGAGTCCAGCACTCAGTTCACTGAGCCACACCAGTCAGGGCAGAAGGCTGCAGTTCTTATCCTATGTTTTATTTTGAAGGGAAGACCAAAACAAAAACAAAAAACCAACGCTCCCAACCCCCCAGCAAAACAAGCTTGTTCACATCCATGAATTAGAACAGATTCATCCCATTTTTCTGTATAGACAGTATACATGACCATATTCAGTGATGTGCTGCAAAGTCTTAACTGCAAAAGAAATATTTGGTTGTGTTTGCCATCCTAAATCTAGGAAGAACTGTACTGTTTAGACACATTTTGAGTGTTTTAATCTAGAGTTGAGGCAAGAAGTTGCCTTGGGTGGAAAGGCCTTGCTTTTAGGAAGATGGCTTCAGGCTTTATGATGACTGTATACTGTATCTTTGGATGTGTCACTGAATCTTTCTGCATTTGAGTGTCCTCAGTGGTTACATTTGATATTATTCTGATTATGAGTGGCTCTGTGATAGACAATTCCAGGCATTTATTTTAGGCTCCTTCCTGTTCTTTCCCTTAAAAGATTAGTAATATCCCCACTTCCACCCCCACTTCCACCCCCACACAACCCCAGACATTGTTGATTTCTGAGGGAAAGGAGAATTTTAAAACTTTAAATGGTACATTAAAAAAAACTATGTTGTGTTAGTTATCTGTTGCTGTGTAACAGCATTGCCACAAACTGGAAGTTTTTGTGACTTAAAATAACATACTTATTAACTTAATCTTTCTATGGGCCAGGAGTCTGGATACAGCTTAGTTGGGTTCTTTGGAAGGCTGCAATTAAGATGTTGTCCATGGATGGAGCCTCATCTGAACGCTTGTCTGGGAAAGGTCTGATACCCAGCTCTCTCAGGTTGGTGGTGGAATTCATTTCCTTGAAGTTGAGGGTCTTATTTTCTTGTTGGCTAGGGGCTGTCTCTGCTCCTAGAGGCTGCCTGTAGTTGTCACGTGAGCTTTCCTCACGTGGCTGCTTATTTTCTCATAGCCAGTGAGAGAGAAAAAGGCAGATACCAGAGTCTTTTGTAATATAATCACATAATCATGAACATCTGTCATCTTTGCTGGTTCCTATAGGAAGCAAGTCACAGCTGCATCCCACACTCAAGGAGAGAGGATCATAGAAGGGAAGGACATGGACACCAGGAGGTGAGGATAATAGCCACACATATGAATGATAGAAACCATATTTAAATTTTTATGCTTGTTGTCTTCTTTTGGATCTGTGCTTAAACATCTTACTTTAAAATGAGCCTCAATAACCATTGACTGACTGACTTAAAATACTTTTGTTCAATTAAAGCTTCCAGCCCTGTGGTGTTTTTGTACTGTGCTCTCATCAGATACTAGTGAAGGAAAGACTTGATGTCTTTTCATTCTTCTGCCTCCCTACCCAGCACTGCGCCTGCAGGTGTTAGGTGCCCTCTTAAGTGTTCATTGAAGGATTGTAACTATTGTTCCAATAGCAGCATTGGGTTAATTGAAAGAAATTTCCCTGCCATAGACTGAAGTATATACCCTCATTCATATGTTGAAGTCCTAACCTCCAGCGTGTTGATATTTGGGGCTAGGGTCTTTTGGAGGTTATTAGATTTAGATGAGACACGAGGGCTGTGCTCTCATGATGGGATTGGTGCTCTTAATAAGAGGAGGCAACAGAGTGAGCTCTTTTGGTCTCCTCTCTCTCCTCTCTTCTGTCTCTTTCTCTCTTCCTGTGACTTTGCCCTTGCCATGTGAAGATAGAGTGAAGGTTGCTATCCACAAGCCAGGAAGAGAACTCATCAGAAACTGACCATACTGGCACCTTCATCTTACATTTGTAGCCTCCAAAACTGAGAAAATAAATGTCCGTTGTTAAAGCTACCCAGTCTATGGTATTCCATTATGGCAATCTGAGCTGACTAAGACAGTCCCCCTCCCCCCCATCCTCTTACTGTCTCTGTTTAAAGAGCACAAGATAACAACTTAAGTGTAAAATTTGCAGGATGGCAGTGACCCCCGGCAGCCAATGAGCCAAGGAGAATGGTGTTTAATTGCAGCCATTCCCATTCTTTGTTGAGCTTTACTCATAACTATTTGTGGAAGACTCCTGGACTTTTTCTTTTTCAGGGAAAAATTATATCTAAGGCATAATGCCCTTGGTTTTTAAGTACAGTTATTAGACTGTCAAACAGGAACACTTAATGAAAACAAAATGTTGCTCTTGAAAAGCCTCAATGATAGGAACTTAAATAGCAAATTCTTAATTTGTTGTTCCTGAGTCTCACCTGTTTTTTTTAACTTTTGAAATTCAGTTGTTTTTTTGTTTGTTAATTTATTCATTCATAGGTTGAGGTGTAGAGGGCTTAGTACCCTTCCCCCAGTTTTCTACTTTTTTTTGACTCTGGTAAACTTGCTTTTTTCTCACTAGGTTCCTTCTTTGTAAAAATGGGATAGTCACATCTTTATAAAAAAAATGAAATTATATTAAGCTCTAATCACATAATAGGTGCTCACTGGATGACAGTTTGACTAATTGTGGAGGAATGATTAACCCTTTGTGTTTATTTATAGTTTCATTTATCATACCAGCTATGGTATCACGATACATTAGAAGTAAGACTATAGGGATGGAGAAGGATTCAGGGATATCTCGTCATCTTCCTTCTGATTAAAAACATCTTGAATTCTTGAACAGAGATTTTAAAAATATTTCTAAGCCATATAAAATTTATTTGTTTTTAATAATTACAGTCAAAATTATCAAGCAGTGAAGGGTTTTTTTTTTTTTTTTTTTTGACCTGGCACTTCATTGCGACTTAAGGACTCACAAGTGGTTTAGAGGGAGGATCTTAGAATTTAAGAAGTTCATCCTTTTCATTTGATAGATTTAGAGGCTGAGGGCTTTGTGCACTGATATCTAATCATGTGGAGGAGAGGAAACAGGAGTCATAAATCTTATCTTTTATACAAACTCAACATTTTCAGAAATTTCATTGGAAGAAACACTAAACAGATCCATGGAACCCACTGGGTTCAACCTGAAATACCTGTGCCCACATATGCCATCTCTCTATGGAAAGGACTGTATAGCTGCTTTAGGAGTCAAGTGTCAGACTCCCTTAGTGTTCAAAGCTCAGCTTCTTAGTTAAAGGTCAGTTTTTCACGGGGGCTAGGGAAAGAGGGGAGTGGAAAAGAGACTTCCAGCTTGGGGCTCTTGCTGTTCTTCTAGGGGGTTTAGGACCTGTGAATTTAGTTCCCTGAATGGCAACACATAAATAGCACTGACCCTTAATTGAAAGGGAGGAGACCAAATGGACTAGAGGGCAGGACATTATAGTGATGACTAGTGGCCTGGTGGTGTCTGCTGAAATGGTCTTGATTTTTTTCCCTCTCCACTCTTCCTGTTCCCTCCTTCCTGTGCTTGGAAATCCTGAAAGGAGGGAGGAGGGACAATTAACCTAAGATTTGATGCTGAGGGTTCCTGGGTGGACTGGAATTTGAGGGGAGTGGGAGGCCCCCAACCCTTTTTAAAACCAGTATATAACAACCTGACTGCTACCTGCAGTTTGCCAATTACCCAATTATGACACAAATTTGCCCGTTTAAAAAAAGTACGCTGCTACTACTCTTCCTTATACAGGGATTTTAGTCACTGTACATCTTGTGTCTTTAAATAATGTATTAGGAACATTTTCAAGTCTGTTAAGTGCTTTTTTAATGAGAGTGTGAAGATTTTAATGGGACTAGATTGCTTTTCATGACATTTCAGAGTGACTTAATTGTAACAATGTTGAGAGTCTGTATTTTAAAGTTTGCTAAGTATGTCTGCTGTGGATTATAGTCAGTCACTTAAAAGGATGGATGGATGGATGGATAGTGGAACCAGAAAGCTTTAGCTCTTTGAAAAATATGGTTATACCAAACCAGACACAGATCAGGTTTCTCTTGAATCTTTTAATTAGACAATCAGAACAGAAGCCAAAACCGAGGCTAGTGGGGAAAGTTTCACAGATAGTTTCTTTAAAACTTTCTTGGGCAGCATTTATGTATCTCTGAGTATTTCCTCTCTCCTTTTACAGAGCCAGGAGGCCAGGCTATCTTTCCTGTTTATATTTCCTTTTAGTCCCTTAACCCTTCTCTGTTCACTTAGAAACAGACCTGTCTTGTATCTCATTTTTTCTCAGGTATTTTGTTGTGTTCCTAAACTGTTGTCACTACCAAATTAACAGTTTACTTTTTTAGTGTTGAGAATTTGAGACTCATTTTGAAACTGAATATTTTTGTATGTTTCATTACCATTTATCCTCCTTATACCCTCCTCCCCCCATGCTGTTGTCCATGTCCATGAGCCCCTTTCCCTTTTTGCTTGATCCTGCCACCCCCTAACCTTTCTACCCATAGCTGTCACCCTGCTCTTATCTATGAGTGTCTCTGTTTTGCTTGCTAGTTCAGTTTGTTCATTAGATTCCACATACAAGTGAAATCATAAGGTGTTTGTCTTTCTCTGTCATTTTTTTTTGTCTTCAAAACAGCAAGGTTATTTAGAGGTCTTTTCCTACACAAATGTTCTTAGGATTTCAGAACCTGTAGTAGACTTCTCAAAATTATATCAGATTGTTAGACACTTCCAACACCACTCGTAGTAGGGGTTGGTTATTAGTTTCCTAGGACTGGGATTGCTCTAACAAATTATCAGAGGGCGGTGGCTTAAAGCAACAGAAATAGATTCTCTCTTAGTGCCGGAAGCTGGAAGTCTGAAAATCAGCATGTCAGTAGTGCCATGCTCTCTCTGAACCCTGCTAGGATAATCCTTCTTTGCCTCTTCCTAGCTTCTGGATGTTTGTTGGGTTTTTGGCAGTCTTTGGTGTTCCTTGGTTTGCAGCTGCTTAGCTCTAATCTCTGCCTTTATCTTTAAAAGGTATTCTCCCAGTGTGTCACATGGCCATTGTCTTACGACACCAGGCATATTGGATTAGGGGCCCAGTCTATTCCAGTGTGACCTCATCTTAAGGAGTTATATCTACAGCAAACCCTGTTTCCAAATAAGGCCATATTCTGAGGTACTGAGAATTAGGATTTCAATATATGTTTTAAAAAAAAAATTAAATTTATTGGAATAACATTGGTTAGTAACATATACGATTTGGGTCTAAAATTCTATAATACATTATCTGTATATTGCATTGTGTTCACCACCCAGAGACTCGTCTTACTCTGTCACCATGTATTTGACCCCTTTTACTCTTTTCATTCTCCCCTCATCCCCTTCCTCTCTGGTAACCACTGTACTGTTGTCTGTGTCTGTGAGCTTGTTTGCTTTATTTGTTTATTTGTTGCCTTCTGTTTTACATACCACATATGAGTGAATTCATATGGTTCTTGTATTTTTTTTTGTCTGACTTATTTCACTTAGCATGATACTCGAGATCCATCCATGTTGTCACAAATGGCAATATTTCATCCTGTTTTACATGTGAGTAGTATTCCATTGTATGTACATACCACATTTTCTTTACTCATTAGTTGCAGGACACTTACGTTGTTTTTGTGTCTTGGATACTATGAATAATGCTGCAATGAACATAGGTGTGTATATACCTTTATGAATAAGTGTTTTCACATTTTCAGGCAGATACCCAGAGGAGGGATTGCTTGATGATTTGGTAGCTCTGTTCTTAAGTTTTTTGAGAAACCTCCATACTGTTTTCTGTAGAGGCTTTTCCAGTTTACCTTTCTTCCAGCAGTGTGTCATGGTTCTCTTTTCTCCACATCTGTTCCAATACTTCTTATTTTTTGTCTTCTTGATTATAGCCATTCTAATAGGTCTGAAGTAGTATCTCATTGTGGTTTGGATTTGCATTTTCCTTATAGCTGGTGAAGTTGAGCATCTTTTTCTGTATCTCTTGGCCATTTGTATGTCTTCTTGGGAAAAGTGTCTGTTCGGGTCTTACGCCCATTTTTAAACTGGGTTTATTTTGTTGAGTTGTATGAGTTCTTTATGTATTTTGGGTATTAGTCCCCTGTTGAAGGTATTGTTTCCAAATATCTTCTATTTGTTTGGTTGTCTTTTTGTTTTTGTGATGATTTATTTTGCTCTGCAGAAACTTTTTAGTTTGATGTAGTCCCATTCATTAATTTTCAGCATACCTTTTTTTGCAGGGACACAA